CTATCTATCTATCTATCTATCTATCTATCTATCTATCTATCTATACAAATTCGAGCTGGATTTAGCAAGCCAAACTGGTCCTGGCCGCCTACTGGATAACTCCAAATGATCCAATGAGCAGCTTCTCGTTTCTTAATCAACAGGTGGAAAGACTCATTCCGTGGAAATTATTTTAGTTAGGAAACTCTAAACGTCTGAGGAGATGCACAAACTCCTCAAACTAGGTTAAAACTTTCCAACGAACCATTAAAAACTGGAGGGAACGTGAGAACTGTTGTGGTGGGGGAAAGAAATCCCCTGAACGACCCTGATTGGTAATCTTTTAAAAGAATTTTCTTAAAATAATTAGAAGGAAGACACAAAAAAACAGCAGAACTCTGATGTGGTCTGATGGGTCCAGATTGACCCTGTTCCAGAGTGAGGGGGCATCGGGGCAGAAGATGGGATTACCCATCATGCCTTGCGCCTCCTGTCCAGCCTTTGGGGGCGGAGCTCTGATCTGGAGATCCAGGTTCAGAAGCATAATGAGAATACGGATGAGGTCAGCTGACCGCCTGAGTGTCCTGAATAGAGAAGGTTTTTCCATCAGTGGAACAAAGCCAGGGCTCAGGCTGGGGACGAGGCGTTCAGGGAGCATGGGACATCATCATTACAACAAAAGAGTCCAGAGCTGAACCCCACAAACAGACAGATTAAGACTCAAACTAAGAGCAGTTTTTCAAGCCAAAACGAAGCACACAGGCGGTTGTAGCTCAGAGGAAAAAACTGCTAATGCAAAGGTTTTCATTCCAGGCCCTAAAACCTGATTCTGCCTAAATGTTTCTGTAGCCCATTTCCCTAAAGCTCACATTGAACAAAAGCGTCTGCCAACACTCGTATGGATACAGACACCATCATCTACAGTGATAAAATTTGGCTATAATCACCAACTTTAGCATAGTATGCTATAACATGATCTATGTAAATGACTGATTGTCGTATTTATTCTATAACTATATTTTGTGTTGAAGTCTCTGGCTGTGTCCACAGACTCTCTTTTCTCTCTTTTTCTCTCTCTGTTGCATTAGATCCACCTTTAGGTCAACACACACACACACACCATTTGTTACCACATTCCTGTCATCTGCATGAATTAGGACCTGGCCTGTTCCTGCCCAGAGGTAACTGGCCAATAGGACTTGGTTGTGTCCAGTCCTCCTTTGAGGAGGCGGATCGAGCCCAGGAGATAATGCCCATCACACCTAGATCTCAGAGACCCAGAGAGAGGTTTTGTCTTTGAAGATATACTTTTCCTGTGACCCAATAAATGTCATTTTTTATACTTTTGATCCACTCTGGTTTATTCTCAGGTTTCCAGCTAAAGAATCGGGTTAACAACATCTGCCTAAATGAATATCCTCCATGTCTGATACTTATTAAATGTTGCTTTAGACGCATGACTCATTGATTTGTTTGCATAATAGGGGCTGAAGCAGTGCATTATAGTCCCTTTAATTCATGTTCAGGGCACATTTAACAGCCGAGAAGCCGCCCTGGAAATCAGTTCTGTCCTTGAAAGTAAATAAATCATTCAACCGTTCGTGGTTTGTTTCCAGGTGAACTCCGAGGCGTGTTTGCATTAAAACCTCCTGCGGTTGCCTCGGAAAACGTGCGTTTTTCTGTGTCTCCGCACGTGCAGATCCTACGTCTGCGTGGGAGTTGGCTGTGAACAGATTGAAATGAATCAACACTCTATTGCCTTCGCTGTGAATTGCCAGTGTCCCTGAGTCTCTCCCCGGCCAGAACAAGCAGCGTTCGGTAAATTGGCGCCTCGTGTTTCTGCACTTTGATCAATGAACGTAGAACTGGGAGGTCCTTGAGGTTTGGTGTGTCTCTTAAACCCAGCAGGAGATCTGCTGCTGCTACTTCTGAGGGTATGTAAGAAGGCATCTCTTCTGAGCTCCATGAGTCACACACACGCTATAAACCTGGGAAATTCACAATCAGCCCGGCGTCAGGTTCTGCCTTTACTTTAAAGCCCAGCTGACCTTTTTATGCCTTTTCCAGGTGACAAATCCACTGACTAAAAGGGAAAAAACTAAACAATTTCCTGTTAAGATGGTCAGAGTAGATCAAATTTTGCACTTTCACATAACTGACCTTTATGAATGTGTTTAAATCAAGTATCTAGATTTTAAGAATCGCAAGGATCATTTTCCAAATCCAAAAAACCCCCCACAAAACTCACCAGCTAAGTCTAAAACCAAAAAAATGTTTAAAAAATGAGTTTCCAATCAAAATGTCATCAAATTTTTACAAACATCCTGATGGGATTATTTCTGTTCATCTGTGACCAATACGTGGAGAAAAACACAAAAACTAAATATATTAAGGAAAAAACATAACTGGTAATAAATAAACAATAAAAACCTCCTCCATCAGTAAGAAATCTGAATGAGATGTCTGCACATGCTATGTTAAACTCATATGCTGCCACTGCATTCAAAGCCAATTTAAGGTCAAATAGACATAACATGGTGGGTAAATAAACCCGACAGCATGACATGGGCAAATTTACACCCAAAGAACAAATAGACTATATGAAAAAGGGGGAAAAAACAAGTATTACGATCAGAAACTGAGCAGGTTTCCAGTCACTTGACATATTTAGCAAAACTGGGACTTAAGTCTTAATTACGGTCATTTTAGTGGTTGAAAATGAAAAAAAATAACCGAGTGTTGGTTTGAAACTTTATGATTGAATCACCTCCTTTTACAAATGAAGCTGCCGTGTTTCCTGTTAAAGACGAGACAATTACAGAAGCTCCTTTCTGCTGTATTTAAAGCTTTCAAAGAGCTCTGATGGTCTGTCACACACTTCTGGGTAAAAGGGATTCTGACAGGACTCAAGATGAGTGACAGGTTAGCTTAACTAGAATAAAACAAAGAAATAGAAATCAAACAAAAAAGAAAACTGGGTAAGAAAAGGAATCTTGAGCAAATGAGTGAAAAAAAAGTAAAGCAAGTTCTACCCCTTAACCAATAGACTGTGACTTCCAGGAGATCCAAACCCGGCCTGTAGGAGGCAGATAAAAAAAAACAAGCAGCGGGCAGCCAGACGAGGGCAGAAAGCCGGTGATACGAGAAACTTCCAGAGAATCAAATATATACAGCTGACGGACAAACACGCGACTGACAGACAGAATAAAGCAAAGATCAGAAAACCTGACGGATAAATGCAGAGAGACGGTTCAAACCGGGGCAGGTGTGGAACTCAGGAGGTGAAAACCAGACGTGCACCCTCCACAAAAGAGCAAAAAAAGAGCAAACTCAGAACTCAGAAAGGACGAGAGCAGCCGGCAGTTCTGTTGGTGTTCGGCTTCGTTATTAAAGCAGAAATGTTGGATATTTGAAGACTTCTGGGTCTCCACCTGAGACACCAGGGCCTCAGGAGCCTGCCTGACCCCCCCCTGTGTCTGAGTGGACTCTCCCACCGCCCCAAAACAGGCATCTCAGGTTAATTGGACACTAAATTGGCCCTTGGAGCGGATGTGAGAGTGTGTGTGGTTGCGTGTCTCTGTGTGACTCCAGACCCCCCGTGACCCCGTTGGGAACAAGCGGTTTAGAAACTGGATGGATGGAAATAACAGAACTTAATTAAGATATGTTAATGAATCGCTAAACTGATCAAATAAACATGGAAATTAAAGCAAGGAATTAGTTCATTTCAAATCGTGTTAATTATTCCATGTTTTTCCATTATTTTAGTAGCATTTATTAGCAAATTCATCTATCCATTAAACCCCATTTTATGTTTATTTACCCTTTTTATTCCTGAACATTAACTCACAAAATGATTTCCCCTTTAAGATCACCACTTTTGGTCCTGTACAGGATTTATCCTACTGGGAATAATGAGCAGGATCACCAAGTTTCATTTACAGTCTCAAATAAAATCATTTTAGGCTTCATTCTCTAGCTGGAAAGGACAAAGAAAGAAGGAAAAAAAAGAAATCTGCTGATTAATTTCACTCCAGCTCCAACGGGGTGGACAGATGATGGTGTCGTTAACCATTAAAGAGTGAATCCATTACAGTCAACATCCAGGATCACACTCTGGATATAATGAGCCTCCCGCCCCTTTAAATGTCAAACGCACTTCACATTTAGAAAAGAAAAGGAACGGCAGCTTTTCAGATTCTGAGTGGTTTCTTGTGGAGATGTTTTCCGCCTCAGAACTGAGCGGAACGAATCGAGTCAACTTGTAATCACACTGTCACAAACAGTGAGGACTCTTTTTCTCTCGTTGCTTTCACCCAAAGGGCCGAAGACACCACGAAAAAATTGTTTTGCAGCTCTCAGAGGAGTCAGAGTTCCTCCTCTTCTCAGATAAATGGTAACATGCTAATCTGAGATATCCTTTTAGAAAGCAATTCTGAACGGGCAGAAACAACAGAATCATTATTACATGGCTCCTATAAAGAGGATATAGCCCCAATCATCCACCTCTGGATGAAGGTTATGGTGCTATGAGTAACTTACATCACTTTGAACAAGTTAATACAAGAATAAAAACCAGGAAAGCAGAAAAAACAGACAATAAGGCAACAAATTCCTTGAAATGGAGTAAAAAGAAGCACCAGCTTAATGAATCCTTCACATTCATCCCTCTGACGTCTCAAAATATGAATTATAATTAGCAACATGTTTTCTATTTATATGAATCCAAAAGGTATTTATATTTACACTTGTGTATGAACTCAAATTAAATAATACTCAGGTTCATTCTCCAGTATTAGTGTTGAATAGTTGCATGAAAAATAGGAAGAATGAAGGATTTTCTGGTCATTTTGTGGGAGAATCAGCCACAGGTGTAGCAAAGTACCATGGAAACGACGGGTCCTGGCATTCAGTGATGTCATCGGTCCTCGTGACGCACCGATGGGAAAAAAGCAGCTTTTTTGTGGCTCATTTCATAATAATGAGATATTATTTTAGTGAAAACCTTTTCAATGATCTGATATTAACCTTAATTCTTCTTCTTCTCTTCGAAAAAAGAATAAGAACTCTAACCTTAAGTTATCCCCCTACCAAAAAACCTCTGAAATCACAGAGTAGGAATGTCAAATTAACCCAATTTAATTAGTACAAAGTATTTGGGGTGCAATCAAACATGGTCACGTGAGGGTTTAATTTAAAGAAAAAGCGGACAAAGCAGGGTTACCCCCCCGTACAGGGGGCAAAGGGTCACACCCACCTTTAGAACTGCACCACAGTAAAAAGTAAAAGGCTAAACTCAGGTATGAAATCAATATTATATAAACAGAGTATAATTAATCAGAGAACTGTCTAATTTTAATCAAAATATGGCATGAAAAAGACTGAGACGATCCGCTGACCTCAGATCTGCTTTCCTGTCTCCATAAGCATTCAGAAACTTGTGGAAAATCGTTTATCTTCTAAGATTATTGATCCATTTTGGCAAACTTTAGAGAGAAATTTATCTGGAGCCCCAAATTCATTATCCAAATGGCTTTTGAGTTGTGAGTAATTGGCGTCTAGTTAGTTGATCTGCTTATAAAGCTGCAAAAATAATTAATGGAAAAAGAAGATTCAAAATTCATTCAAATAGCTGAACACCAAAAAGACATGAAAACCTCACAGAAAACTCAAAATCACCCCAAAAAAGTCACAAAATTTTAAACAGAAATATACATTTACAGATTATTAGTTTAAATTTTGAGTTCCTTTGAGCCTGGGGGTGTTCATCCTGTTGGGGTTAAGACAGGTCCTTTTAATTTTGAACTCAATTTTGAACTCAATTTTGAACTCAATTTTGAACTTAATTTTAACAAAATTTTAACTCAACTTTAACTCAATTTTAACTCAATTTTCATTTTTAACTGGTTGATTTAACTCAACCAGGACGTTTGAAGTTTTGGCTTCCAGTCCTGAACAATGCTTTTTTTTTTAAATTTTTTTTTTAGCATTATGGCAGTAGAACTGAAATCTGAACAATGCTTTAAGTGAGGTTAACTCATTGACTCATTCTTTGAATCAGCCATCAGCCCAAAAGTTTCCAAACCACCCGGGAATTCTGCATCTTCCTCAGCCTCTCCTCCTCCTCCTCCTCCTTCTTCCCCAAACACCAGAACCGGCTCACCTGTCCAGGCTCACCTGTCCACGCCGGTCTGAGGATTTCTGCCGCCTCTCGTCTTCCTTCCTTCCCTCCGCGTTTCAGCCTCCATCTGCTCCCGCACCGACTGGTGCTCTCTTCTCGGCAGCATCTCTCAGAGGCTCAGGCTCCGGCTGGTAACTAGGTAACAGCTCTGTCTGCGCAGAGGAGGGAGGAGGAGGTTGCTCAGTCACATCCTCCCGCGTGCGTGTGAGAGAATCTCACCCCAGCCTTTTTTCGGTGGGATAACGCAGCACTAAGTGGTCCCTTTCTGTGTTTTTTTTAAATCAGTTGATCAGCGCAAACCAACAGATAAGTCTCTGTTTTTATTTGAGTCTGAAAAGTTTTGTAGCTGGAGCCTGGAAACCACCAGGAGCGTCTCCATTCACTGTTGTTTTCCTGTTTCTCCTTATTATTCTTTATTCCGTACGTTTTTCTGCGTCTAATTAGTCCTAAACCTTTCAGCCTATTTCAACAAATAAGGTATCAAGATGTTCGGCTTTCTCAGGACTATGCAGTTCTGACTTTTGGTGTTCAAATCTTTTCAACTTTTTATGATATTTAATATCTTATGCCTTATTCCTCTCATTGAAATGAATGGAGCAAAAAGTATGGCTCCCTCTGCTGGTCATTGGCATTTTAGCCCCTTCAAATTTTGTTAGCCCGTCGGCCTGTGGTATAGCCCAGTGGTATAGCTCAGTGGTATAGCTCAGTGGTATAGCCCAGTGGTATAGCCCAGTGGTATAGCCCAGTGGTATAGCTCAGTGGTATAGCCCAGTGGCATAGCCCAGTGGTATAGCCCAGTGGTATAGCTCAGTGGCATAGCCCAGTGGTAGAGTGTATGACTCCAGATCTGGAAGTCGCTGGTTCAAATCTTTCAAATTATCCCTCCATTTAGTCTTTTTTCTTCAACTCTTCTGTTTCCTCCATTCTTCTTTTACTCTTCAGTTTTATGTCTTTTTCAGCTTTTCTTTGGCTTCTTCTTCTTCTTCTTCTTCTTCTTCCTCGATTCAGCACTTGGCATTCTCCAAGCTGTTCGGCAGGAACAGCCGTATGCTAGTTTATATCCTTTGCATGCTGGGTTAGCACAACCTCAGCATGTTTTCTTAATATTTGCATCAGGGGGGTCATGCAGGCCAAATTCAGCCCTCCAAATACCTCCATCCACCCACTGTTTCTGCTTATCTGACGTCAGGGAAAGCAGACATCCCCGTAAGTAATCCAGGTGGAGTCCTCTGGGTCTCCTCCCCGTCAGATGTGCATGGAAAACCGTCAAAAAGAGGCAGAACCCTCATCAGACGCGGAACCACCTTTAATCTGCTGGTTATTAAGAGTCTGAGCTCCCTCCAGATGGCCAAACTCCTCATTTCATCTCCGAGGCTGAGCTGAGTTCATTCATGAGATACAATTCAAAATAGTCAAATTTTTAGTGACTAGCCTGTTGCAGATATGTTATAGAAAGCACCCTGGCTGCTGGGAGCTTTCAATACTCAGTGAAATATCCCTTTAAATTCCAAATGCAGACGGCCAACAGGTGGCTGGGAGGTTAAACTAAGTTACTGCAGAGCAGGGAGTCTTAAACTGTAGAAAACATCCAAGGTGAAACCAGAACAAGAGGCAGAATTTAAGCAAACGGGAAATAAAAACAAGATGGAAGAGATGAGACTGAACCGGCAAAGAACAGAGAAACCAAGTGATTTTTATATGGTCCCTGCCTAAAGATGACATGCCCAAATTAAATGAGTATTTCTCTTTCATTACAAACTCTTTTTTAACTATTTTGGCAACACAATAAAGGGTAAAAATGAGAATTGATCAGAGCTGGAAGCCTCACAGTCGCTGACATTTTATCAAAGTTACTGAGGTTGAATTAACATTCCTCTATTTTTTTCTGCTGCATTTGGTGGCGTTTTTGTTCGATTTCAGTTAAGATTTTGACATTTCTGTGGGCATATGTGTGAGAGGACAGGAAACCTGTTCAAAACAAATAAAGGAACTTCAAAACTGAATACAATTGCCAACACAGAACACAGAAATTGATGTTGTACTAATCTGTAAAAACTCAAACACATTGGGTTTAATGGGGGAAAAGCAAAGCAAGCGAAAGAACCCACAGTTTAAAAACCTCATTTATGGGATTCCTGGGATTTGTACATGTTAAATATTGTTTAAATGTGTGCTCCCGTGAGCACAGGAGCCAGACTTACCTCAATTCTGCTCCAGGACACAATTCAAACCCCAAGAGGTTTCTTTACTTTCAGGTTCCTGCCTTCAAAAGTACCTTCTCCGTCACATTTAACCCCTTCCAACAGCTATTTACAGCACAGGTCGTCGGAGGCTGCTCCCGCCTCCGCCTCCCAGTTATGTTGGTCCACAAATCAATATTTTCTCAATGAAACAGGGATGTGAAATAAGACATAGACGAGACGTGGGCCGGCTGTGGGGAGATGCCATACCATACCATACCAGCTTTATTTATAAAGCACTTTAAAACAACCACAGTTGATACAAAGTGCTGTACAATCCCAAAACACAACAAAATAAAAGTAGTTCAAAAACTAAGACATACACTTTAAACTAAATCTCACTTTAAACTAGATCTCGCTGGTGTTGAAAGCCAAGTAAAATAGATGAGTTTTAAGACGAGCTTTAAAAGTGGGCAGAGAAGGGGCCTCTCTGACCTGCAAAGGTAAGTCATTCCATAATTTGGGGCCCATAACAGAGAAAGCCCTGTCCCCTCTGAGCTTCCTTTTTGTTCTCGGTACCTCCAAGAGCAGCTGCTCTAAAGATAGATAAGATAAACTTTAAGCTTCGTTTTGTTCAGTTTTTTTTTTTACTTTGGGCTAAGAATGAGGGCAAAGCAGTGAAATGGATCCAATACTCACAAGGCTGATCATCTTGAACAGTGGAAAAAAAGAGACAGAAGGACGCAGAAGTAAAGGAAATCATCCTGTCCTCACTTTGAATGGGAGCTGAGGCATGACGTCAGCTCCATTGTGTCCTCCGCTAAAGGAAATAAGAAGCTATCACGCTCCTTTCCTCTGCGTTTTTAGCTCCCCACCTGCTCTTTAACCCTTTCATGCATGAATTATGATCATTTCAGTCAGGATTTTTTTTCTGTGTTTTTCAAAACATTATAAAAAAGTATTATTTTTTGGGGGGGAAACTGTGTTCATTCATGGATTTCTCCAGATGTCCACAAACAGTACATGCTTTAAAATGTCTTACTAATAAAATACTGTATGTTACAGTGTTAACATATTTTGACATTTGTTAACACAATGCATGAACACATAACTTGGCATGTAAGTCTCCTCCTATCCAAATATTCAGTACTGTCTCATCGCTTTTCTCACTCCAGCTCATTGATTAATTTGAGTCTTTCTCAGCTCTAACAGTAGACTATTGTGGACATTTAAAAAAATGTTTAATGCATCATGCTCCAGTGTTCATTTCAAATATAAAAACCCATAAATACACAAGAAAATGGCTTTTAAATAGCTGTCCACTCTAGTGACCTCTATGCATGAAAGGGTTAAATGGCAGCTGCCATTTTTTTTATTTTTTTTTCCAAAGTTTTCAGTACAACATTAATAACACAGAACAGTTCGACATAGAGAGCAGTTGGCAAAAATGCAGCCTGTTGAAAGTAGCGATCAATCATGAACCATTTTGAAGCACAGCGCACTTTACCCTGTAGGAGTCCCATTTTGACCAAAGTTTGTGTCCATTGTTTGTGTCCATTGCCGGTGTTTTCAGTCCAAGGTACATCGTGCTGAAGTTGAGAGGGATGGTGACGTTATAAACAGTTTGCATGACATTGTTCATCTCTTTCCAATATTTTTGGATAACTGGGCATTCCCAAAACAAATGATAATGATGCGCCTTTTAGGCACCCACATCCTCTCCAGCATCCAGTGTTCCCTTGTGAATAATGAGTGCTTTGACATGTTGTTATTAAAAAAAGTGAGATAGTTTTCCAGCTCAATTCTTTCCAGATATGTGATTTTGTTGTCTTCCATTGAGATAAACATACACTTTCCCATTCATCTTCAGTTAAAGTAAAGGTACCTTCATTTTCCCACTTATTTCCCTCTTAGTGTCTTCACATTGAGAAAAAGGACGGCCGGAGGTCTCCTCTGTGGGCTGAGAGAGTCTGTTTCCACGTCCTGTGAGGTCACGGATTACATTCCTGAGAGTGTTTTTTATTAAAGCATAGATCTCCAACCATCGATCCAACAACCCCCCCTCCTCCCGATGACGACCTGTGCTGTAAATAGCTGTTGGAAAGGGATTAAATGTGACGGAGAAGGTACTTTTGAAGGCAGGAACCTGAAAGTAAAGAAACCTCTTGGGGTTTGAATTGTGTCCTGGAGCAGAATTGAGGTGAGTCTGGCTCTGATGCAGCTCCTGTGCTCACGGGAGCACAAATTTAAACAATATTTAACATGTACAAACCCCAGGAAGCTGTGGTCTCCTGCAGAACCAAGCTGTGTTAGAACAGGTCTAAAACCACGAATGAGTTTTTTAACCGTGGGTTCTGTCGCTTGCTTTGCTTTTCCCCCATGAAACCCAATGTGTTTGAGTTTTTACAGATTGGTACAACATCAATTTCCGCGTTCTGTATTCAGTTTTGGAGCTCCTGCATTTGTTTTGAATCGGCTTCCTGTCATCGTGTTCAACCCCTCAAATGCCTACAGAAATGTCAAAATCTCAACTGAAATCGAGCAAACTGTCTCTCAGAGGATCGGCCTGCCGATGCTTGAGATCAAACCGTCTGAAGCCAGAGTCCTTTAAACATATCGTATTTGAACAAGTGTTTTTTTTATGCATGCAGAGGGATTTAATTACGCCGAAGCTTCGGGGGACACAACAAACACACCATTATAACGCGTCAAACACACCATTATAACGCGTCAAACACACCATTATAACGCGTCTCACTGAGGTTAGCATCAAAGTATCTGTCAGGAAACAAGACCTCGGACTTTGATCCGCCTGTAAATCCAAATAATTAACCAACAGCTTGCTGAAATATGGATAATTCTACCTTCATAAGTGATTTGAGACTATTTATTCATTTAGAATTACTGATCTGAGAACAAATCCATGAAACAGGGCACCAAGCAGCCGGGGAGGAATCCA